GTTGGGAATTGCTAAGACAGCAAAGCAATCGTCCCCAAGTTGACTCTGGTTTGCCTGTGGTGGCAACTGGAGAACGATGTCCTGGGCTTTATGTGAACTCTTCAGTCATATTAATGGCAGAGGCACATCCAGGACAGCTCCATGTGCACATCACCTATTCACTGTTACTGTTTGAGAAGCCATTTGAGAGCTATTGCTCTGCTTTCAGTAGAAAACCCCTCAAACACTGGGTGATTTACACCATTTATATGCTTTCACTCCTTTCAGACCAGAGTAAAATAGCAAAGAGGAGGAGATAGAGCAGGGTTCAAAGCTGGGAAATCACCCCTGGCATCTCCTGTCTGACCTTCAGTTAGACCCGTGGCACAGCCATGGGCCCTGGGGCTGTGACTTCTCTTGGGTCCCTGCTGGCACTTCTCTATTTCTAATCCTCAGTCAGAGTGAATATTGAAAAAAGGACACAGGTAACAAGAAACGAGGACATGGCTAAAATTTTTTGCTAAGAGTTGTATTACTTGCTTAGATAGTGATGGAAGGAAAATGAGTAAATTAAAAAACCCTGAGTAGATCAGTGGTTTGAGTAGTATAAGGGACGTATGTGTCCCTAAAAAGCTCTGAAATGTGCTTTTTAAATCCTTAGGAAAATATTGTAGTGAAGCTTCCTCTTTTTCATTTTTTTTTTCTTTTCAGGCAAAGCAGTGGCTAGAAGAAATGAGCTGGTCAAGGCAGGCCCAAGGAGACTCTAGTAGGTCCATAAGCAAGAGTGGAATCATGGATCCCATTGCTCTTGTCTGTTTCCATCCTTTGGACCCCTTGGAATGGGATGGGATGGGATGGGATGGGATGGGATGGGATGGGATGGGATGGGATGGGATGTGTTATCCCTGAGAAAAGTGAGGCCAGTGGAGGTCTCTGCCCTGAGCACGTTGCCTGCAGAACCCCTTCCAGAGCCCAGCAGAAGGCCTGGCCTTTGGATTGGGATCAGTTTGGTCACAGTGGTGACCTTTCACGAGGGACACGTCCTACTCTAGCGGGGGTTATTGCTGAGCAGGGCTTTGAGGGTCAGGCTGAAATGAATGTGCCAAGGGACAGTGAAGGGTCCTGGCAGGTCCCTCTCCACTCGTGGAGTGTGAGACAGAAGAGTCTCACCCTGTCATGGATGGCTGTGCTCTGGTGGGACTGAGGCACCTGAGTGGTGCCTGAGTGCTGTGCCAGCTGAGGCAGCTCCCTGGCCCAGGAGAGCCTCAGTGGGTCCTGAGGGTCAGGAAAACCCCAGCACTGCTGGGGGGCTCCTGGTCCACAGGAGCTCATGGCTCCTGGGCCAGCTGTGGGATGTGTTCTGCATTAAAACCTGCTCAGTGCAGTCCTGGAGTTCCTTGGGGAAAGGCCCTTGTTAAATGTCCTGTTTTTCTTTTTGATTTCCTTTTCATATGTACCTGATGTCCAGGAACGGCATGGGATAAAGCTAAGGAATGGATAAAAAAGATATTCAACAGAATCAGTAAGTGTGCTGGACCCCATTGCTCTTGTCTGTGGCCATCCTTGGGAACTCTTTGGATGGGATGGGATGTGTTATCCCTGAGAGAAGTGAGGCCAGTAGAGGTCTGTCCTCTGGGTATGTTGCCTGCAGAATGCCTTCCAGAGCCCAGCAGAAGGCCTGGCCTTTGGGGTGGGATCAGTTTTGTCACAGGGGTGACCTTGTTTGAGCAGGGACACATCCTACTCTAGCAGGGGTGTAGTGGCGCAGGTTTAGATGGTGGTTGCTCCTACCTATATCTGTTCCCAATAAGCATCTCCTGTGGAAAGGCCACTTGGGTTAGCATTCAGGCAAAGCCGTCAAGTCCACACACCACACTCACCACCACTAGCTCAGCGAAGAGAGGTAGAAGGGCCTTTTTGTATGGTCAGTTCCAGCGAGGTTAATTGTGGCACACCAAAGGGAAAGCAGGGGCAAAAAGATCTGGGCATGTGCTCGAGGTTAATTGTGGCACACCAAAGGGAAACCAGGGTTAAAAGATCTGGGCATGTGCTTTGCACACTCTTAAGGATGGGAGGGCACGGGGGCGGTACAAAGGACAGGGTAAAAGGCATTGGCCTTAGGGGAAGACGGGGCCAGCCACCAGGGGTACCACAACCAATGAGGGAACAGGGAAAGGAGAAACCAGGGGAAGTTGGGACATAAGGGGAAGTGGGATGGATCAGTGTTAAGCAAGAGTCCATGGGGAAGTAAATAAACAGGGAAACGTGTAAAATGATAAAAACAATGACTGCAATTGAAAAAATTCCTTTAACAAAAGATGAAACCCATCTCGTCAACCCCCATTGTCAGAAAAGTTCATTCATCCAATCTGAGTTCTTTTCCACCTTTAAGTCCTTGTTAATTTGTTCTCTCAGCTTCTGGATGCTTGCATGGGTAGATTTTGAGTATGAAGAAAGGTTGAGGCAGCACATCCCTTCCAAGTCTTGGCAGCCATGTCCATGGGCAAGCAGTAAAAAGTCTATTGCTGCTTGGTTTTGCAGTGTTGCGTGCCTGGTAGTCTCAGTGTCACTAAGCAGGTCACTGACTGCAGTGGAGGCAGTGTTTGCCTGCTTACTAAGGCAACACTCTAGGTGAGAAAGCTCACCGAGAGCCTTAGCTGTGGCCCCCCAAGGTAAAAATAGTGAGACTACGGCTCTCTTTTCTTTCTTCCAATTGTAAACTTGGCTATGACAATTTTCATCAAATTCAGTATATGATCTCTTTTGGCATGCCAATTTCCTTTTTTTGTTTCCAATTTTGGAGTAAAGTTACGTTTGGGGTGAGGGTAGTAAGCTGGCCAAGGCTGCAGGACCCTCTTGAAGGCGTGAGGGGATCCTGGCCCATACTCGATCTCCACAGATAAGAAACACTCCCTGGGGCAGCACTTTGGGATGGAGTGAGGATGAAGAAAGTGTGGGACTGGTTTAATTGCACCAATTTGGAGAGGTATAATTTTTATTAAATGGGCTTGCATCTTTCCTGTGGGTAGACTTAATAAGTTTAAGGTGGGTCAGGTGTTGGTCTGGAGGTTAATACTGAAATTGGTCACAGTAATGAGCTTTAGAAGACCCCAACAGCTCTAATTCTTGGGGTTCCTCTGGTGCTCAAGGTAGGGTCTTGGTCCACCCGTCCCAAGTGTCTACCAGATTGGGTTTCTTATCTGTATATGGGTATTCATTTGCTGCTAGAGGACCCCTACCAGGCATGTGAACAGGGTCTTGTCCACGCTACCCATGGACAGGCATAGGTTGTCTTGCTGTAAAGTCTTGGCTAGTGTGATCCAGATGTTCTGATTGGGCTGAGGGACAATCCACGCACCAGCTGCTGGAAAGACGAGGAGCATCCAAAATCCTGTCTGGAAGAGTTGGGGATTCCCTGCCACCAGAAACATGGCAGGATGCCTGGGGGTGTTGAGTTGATCTATGAGTTTGAAAAAATGGGTTTTTAGACTTACATAATTTTAACAGTCCCTCAAATCTTCTCTTCTTATCCCCTCAGTTTTTACTGAGTAGAAAAGGGGTGGGAAAACAAGAGGGGGTAACAGTGCAACAAACTCAAGAGAGGTAGTAGTGAAACCAGCTAAAGAGGGGTAACAGTGCAAAACAGAGTGAATAAAATGCAACAGAGAGTCTTATGATCTTCTGGAGTGGTGGAGAGTCATCTTCTTCTGTGACAAACATCTGCATTTACAGTCTTTCTCCTTCTTCTCCTCCACACCTCCTGAGCTTGATCTCTATGCTGTCTCTGGGGTTCCGGGGAAGTGTCTCTGGGAGCCGCATGTGGCGATTCAATGAACAGCATGACATTCTTGCTGGGAATCCACCCTGGGCCAGATTCTGTGACACGCAAGCATAGCCTCTGCCCCAAGTTACTAATGGGAACGGGCCCCTTGGTTTTGCAGTGTTGCGTGCCTGGTAGTCTCAGTGTCACTAAGCAGGTCACTGACTGCAGTGGAGGCAGTGTTTGCCTGCTTACTAAGGCAACACTCTAGGTGAGAAAGCTCACCGAGAGCCTTAGCTGTGGCCCCCCAAGGTAAAAATAGTGAGACTACGGCTCTCTTTTCTTTCTTCCAATTGTAAACTTGGCTATGACAATTTTCATCAAATTCAGTATATGATCTCTTTTGGCATGCCAATTTCCTTTTTTTGTTTCCAATTTTGGAGTAAAGTTACGTTTGGGGTGAGGGTAGTAAGCTGGCCAAGGCTGCAGGACCCTCTTGAAGGCGTGAGGGGATCCTGGCCCATACTCGATCTCCACAGATAAGAAACACTCCCTGGGGCAGCACTTTGGGATGGAGTGAGGATGAAGAAAGTGTGGGACTGGTTTAATTGCACCAATTTGGAGAGGTATAATTTTTATTAAATGGGCTTGCATCTTTCCTGTGGGTAGACTTAATAAGTTTAAGGTGGGTCAGGTGTTGGTCTGGAGGTTAATACTGAAATTGGTCACAGTAATGAGCTTTAGAAGACCCCAACAGCTCTAATTCTTGGGGTTCCTCTGGTGTTCAAGGTAGGGTCTTGGTCCACCCGTCCCAAGTGTCTACCAGATTGGGTTTCTTATCTGTATATGGGTATTCATTTGCTGCTAGAGGACCCCTACCAGGCATGTGAACAGGGTCTTGTCCACGCTACCCATGGACAGGCATAGGTTGTCTTGCTGTAAAGTCTTGGCTAGTGTGATCCAGATGTTCTGATTGGGCTGAGGGACAATCCACGCACCAGCTGCTGGAAAGACGAGGAGCATCCAAAATCCTGTCTGGAAGAGTTGGGGATTCCCTGCCACCAGAAACATGGCAGGATGCCTGGGGGTGTTGAGTTGATCTATGAGTTTGAAAAAATGGGTTTTTAGACTTACATAATTTTAACAGTCCCTCAAATCTTCTCTTCTTATCCCCTCAGTTTTTACTGAGTAGAAAAGGGGTGGGAAAACAAGAGGGGGTAACAGTGCAACAAACTCAAGAGAGGTAGCAGTAAAACCAGCTAAAGAGGGGTAACAGTGAAAAACAAAGAGTGAATAAAATGCAACAAAGAGTCTTATGATCTTCTGGAGCAGTGGAGAGTCATCTTCTTCTGTGACAAACATCTGCGTTTACAGTCTTTCTCCTTCTCCTCCACACCTTCTTCTTCTGTGACAAACATCTGCATTTACAGTCTTTCTCCTTCTTCTCCTCCACACCTCCTGAGCTTGATCTCTATGCTGTCTCTGGGGTTCCGGGGAAGTGTCTCTGGGAGCTGCACTTGGCGAATTGATGAACAGCATGACATTCTTGCTGGGAATCCACCCTGGGCCAGATTCTGTGACACGCAAGCATAGCCTCTGCCCCAAGTTACTAATGGGAACGGGCCCATTATTCGCTTGCATTCGGGCTCTTTGATCAGCACAGGGGGTTTCTCTGTCAGCTGAGCTCAAGGTACTTTGAGATGTGCCTGACAATGGAGGGTTTTGGCTCCATGAATGATTTGTTAAGAAAACTGATGACATAAGGAGCCTTACATAATCCTTTTACATTTGGTAGGGTTTCAACTCCCCTACGCTGCTGATCAAGGACTCTCTTGAATATACAGTGAGCCCTCTCTACAGTAGATTTCCCTGTTGGGGAATGGGATACGCCAGTGGTGTGTTTCACCCCCCACTGATCTAAGAATTATTGGAAAATTTTGGAGGGGTAAGCAGGACCATTATCTGTTTTGATGGCTTGCGGAATGCCTAGGATGGCATTCTTCTAGGATTCCTAGAAGAAAATGTTTGATAACCTCTTTGGCCTTTTCTCCTGTGTGGGCAGCTGTGAATATAGCCCTGGAGAATGCATCTATGGACACCTGAATATATTCCTGTCTCCCAAAGGGTGCATAGTGTGTAATATCTGTTTGCCACAATTGTAAACTTTCGAGGCCTTGGGGGTTAACCCCAGCCCCCATGGAAGGCAAAGCAAACTCCTGGCAATTGGGGCAGGAGCCCACAATTGCTCTCGCCTATTCCCTTGTGGTTTTAAACATACGGACAAGGGCTGGTGCATTTTGGTGAGAAAACGGATGGCTCAATTTAGCCTGATTAAAAATGTGTGGTAGGGTGGTCTGCACTGCCATGGCTAAGACATCTGCTCTCCAGTTGCCTTCTGTAATCAGTCCTGGGAGATGAGTGTGTGACCTCACATGCCTAATGTGATATGGTTGCTCTCAGTGGGAGAGGAGGTGTGTTAACTTTGAAAGCAAGCTGTATCAATCTGGGTTTGGCACTTCCTTTAACCAGGAATGTTCTGCTCTTTCAGCAACATAAGCCCAATCAGTACCCAGATTCAAGGGTTGTTTGAACTTCTCAAAGGCTCTGAGAATGGCTGCTAATTCTGCAATTTGTGGGGATCCCTGAATAATTTGAAGATCAGACTCCCACTCCTGAGTGTCAGGATTTTTCCAAGTCATAAGTGACTTCTGGGATTTTCTGAAGCCATCAGTAAAAACAGTCCATGCCTTTAAAGGAGTACAACTCCTTAATGATTTTGGGACCAAATTAAAACAATCATTAAATAGTGTATGTTTCTGTAGGTGGATAGAGATTTGACTTGGGTAGCTGTCAAGAGCAAACTGGAGGTGTTCACTGGTCTGGAGCAAAGCTTCCAGTTCACCTGATGTCACTGGGAGGTAAATGTATTGAACTCACACTCTGCTAGGGTTTTGAGTCTGACTTTTATAATGAGCTGAGCCATCAGCTCCTGGGGTGTAGTGATTGTCTTAATCTTATGTGGTTGTGCAATCGGAACAGCCACTCCATGACTAAAAGCTGATCCTTCAGAGTGGGGTCCCACTGAAAAATGAGCCCATGAAACTTGGGTGACTTACCCAAGATGACAAATTGGTAAGGCAGGGTAGGGTCAGCACAGTGGACTTGTCTCGTGGACAGTGCCTCTGATACCTTTTGGATCGCTACCTGGGCTTCCAGTGTGATTGTTGTGGTGAGTCAAGGTCATCTCAAGCACAGTGGACTTGTCTCGTGGACAGTGCCTCTGATACCTTTTGGATTGCTACCTGGGCTTCCAGTGTGATTGTTTGTGGTGAGTCGAGGTCATTGCAGCCTCTCGGGAGTTTGAAAAGGGGTGCAAGGTGCTCAGTTGTGATCCCCAGCAGTGAACAAACCCAGCTGAAGCTCCCACATAGCTGATGCAACTCTCTCAGGGTTCTCAGGTTGTCCTTGATGGTGAGCTGCTGGGTACAATGGTTCTTTCGCTGATCCACAGTCCTAGATAGGTCCGTGGGCAGGTGCACTGAATCTTCTCTGTAGCAATTTCAAATCCTGCTCCTTCAATGGCTTGAAAAGTCTTTTTGAGAACAGTCTCCAAATAGTAGTCAGTCTCAGTGCATATTAAAATATCATCCATAGAGTGAAAAATTGTGGCATCAGGAAATTTTTCTTGAATGGGCAAGACAATGCAACTCACAAACATTTGGTGGATAGCTGGTGAATTTTTCATTCTTTGGGGGAGAACTTCCCATTGACACCTTTTGAGAGGGTCTTGTCTGTTAATTGATGGGATGGAAAATGAATCTGATACGGTCATTGCAGCCTCTCGGGAGTTTGAAAAGGGGTGCAAGGTGCTCAGTTGTGATCCCCAGCAGTGAACAAACCCAGCTGAAGCTCCCACATAGCTGATGCAACTCTCTCAGGGTTCTCAGGTTGTCCTTGATGGTGAGCTGCTGGGTACAATGGTTCTTTCGCTGATCCACAGTCCTAGATAGGTCCGTGGGCAGGTGCACTGAATCTTCTCTGTAGCAATTTCAAATCCTGCTCCTTCAATGGCTTGAAAAGTCTTTTTGAGAACAGTCTCCAAATAGTAGTCAGTCTCAGTGCATATTAAAATATCATCCATAGAGTGAAAAATTGTGGCATCAGGAAATTTTTCTTGAATGGGCAAGACAATGCAACTCACAAACATTTGGCGGATAGCTGGTGAATTTTTCATTCTTTGGGGGAGAACTTCCCATTGACACCTTTTGAGAGGGTCTTGTCTGTTAATTGATGGGATGGAAAATGGAAATCTTTGGGGCATCTCTGGGATGGAGAGGGAAGTTAAAAAAGCAATCTCTGATATCAATGCCTGCCAATTTCCAGTCTCTTGGGAGCATTGAGGGTGAGGGTAGACCGAACTGCAGAGGGCCTATGTCTTCAATGACCTCATTGACCTTCCTGAGGTCTTGCAGGAGCCTCCCCTTGTTTTTGACTGGTTTACGGATGACAAAGACAGGGATATTCCAAGGGCTGGAACTTTGGAAAACTGCTCCTGCACAAGGGATTCGAGCACCTTTACTTTACTTCTGAGGGGGCCACTGATCAACCCACACTGGTTCATCAGTTTTCCATGTGAGTGGTGTGGTAGGGCATCCCACAGTGGCCCCAGCTAGAAATCCCGTGGCAGTGAGGGGATTTCTAGCCTTGCTCCCTGTTGAGACAATAGGTCTCTGCCCCATAAGGTAAAAGGTGCCCTTACCACAGAAGGTCTTACTGTGGCTACCTGACCCTCAGGTCCTTGGATAAGAATTGTCTGTTTGCTCCGCATAGAGATGGCAGCTCCTCTAATTCCAGAGATGTCTCAATTGGCTGGCACCCCTTCCCAGTCCTGTGGCCATTTGGAGGGGGCAATGATGGTCACGTCCTCTCTGGTATCTGCTACACCTGGAAGATAAACTTTGTCCCCTTTGTTAAACAAGCCACACTCTATAAGAGGTCTGTCTTGGCCCACAATCTCTGCCCAAACAACTTTAGGGTTTTTTGGCATCATGTCAGTCCATGTGGGTGTGAGGAAACCTTGGGCTATAGGTGTGCCCTTAGATAAATACCAAGGTGGGTCTACACATGAGACAGTCACAGTAATTTCATCCCTTGGTCCCGCAGTTTGGAGTTCAGGAAGTACTTGCAAATTGTCTGGTCCGTTAATAGAGTCCCCTGTGATTAAAATGTCCTTTGGTCTATCAGAAGGTCCAAATTCACCAGTTGGAATTCAGTAGCTTGGAAAGGGCCCTTACCAGGATGTGGTGTGTCCTTGCCTGAACATATTGGTAGGTCTGGGAGAGTTGGTTCTCTTTCTTGTCGTCACAGTCTCTCGGTGCCTTGATTTTCTGGGATGGTGGGGAAAGAGGGACGGAACGCCTTGGCATTTGGTGTCATTGCACAGGGCCACCCTGCGCTTTGCTGGAAGTTTCCCTGCTGTTGCTGTTGAGACAGCTGATGCTGCATCTGCTCGTGATACTGAAACTGGGGACGGTGTTTAAAATGTTCTTTACAGTCTAAGCATGCAGCAGAAGGGAGCAACCAGTGCAGGGGTGTCTCTGCAAAAAGTCTTTATCACGTTCCACCTAGAAGTGGCCTTGTTCCTCACACCTAGATCATCTCATATTTTGTTTATTTTATGCCACAAATACTTCAGCTACTCCTTTGCTGGCTGCCAGTGCTACCGTATGTTCTGTAGTTGTGAGATGGGTACAGGCTTCCACCATTTGCTGAATGGTGGGTTCAGGGTCTGGAGGGAATTCTCTTAGAATTTTTTTGCATTCCTTATTCACATCCTTGCCTGAACATATTGGTAGGTCTGGGAGAGTTGGTTCTCTTTCTTGTCGTCACAGTCTCTCGGTGCCTTGATTTTCTGGGATGGTGGGGAAAGAGGGACGGAACGCCTTGGCATTTGGTGTCATTGCACAGGGCCACCCTGCGCTTTGCTGGAAGTTTCCCTGCTGTTGCTGTTGAGACAGCTGATGCTGCATCTGCTCGTGATACTGAAACTGGGGACGGTGTTTAAAATGTTCTTTACAGTCTAAGCATGCAGCAGAAGGGAGCAACCAGTGCAGGGGTGTCTCTGCAAAAAGTCTTTATCACGTTCCACCTAGAAGTGGCCTTGTTCCTCACACCTAGATCATCTCATATTTTGTTTATTTTATGCCACAAATACTTCAGCTACTCCTTTGCTGGCTGCCAGTGCTACCGTATGTTCTGTAGTTGTGAGATGGGTACAGGCTTCCACCATTTGCTGAATGGTGGGTTCAGGGTCTGGAGGGAATACTCTTAGAATGTTTTTGCATTCCTCATTCACGTTGGACGCTGATAGTTTACTGAGCAGCTCTACTCTAGCCCTTGGGCAATCAACTTGTTTATCAATAGTGTCTTTTAGTCTGTCTATGAATTCAATAAATGTCTCACCAATGCTCTGACAAATGTCAGTGAAACTTTGTTGTGGAGTGGTACCATCCCGTGTTTGGAATAAAGCATTCTGGGCAGCATTTTTAATGTCCTCTAAAATGGCTGGGGGCTTGGTCTTGTGGATTTTCAAATGGTCCTTCCCCGCTCAAATGCTCTACTGTAAAATGAGCTAACCTACCCTCGGTTTTGTAATTTTTTACTAATGCTTTTACTTGTTTTTTCCAAATTGATTCCCACAGAAGAAGCTCTGTGGGTGATAGGAGGAGGGACATATAGCGAAGATCATGGGGGACAAGCACATGAGCTGAGAAAGTTACTTATACTAGATATTTAAAATACGGAGATTGACATCCATAACCATTAAATGCTTTGCATAGTTCTTCGTGGAATGGAATAGATTCCCATTTAGGGAATCTCCCTCTTTTGTATATAGCTGTGTCTCCACTCCTGGAGTGTGAGGCAGAAGAGCCTCACCCTGTCATGGATGGCTGTGCTCTGGTGGGACTGAGGCACCTGTGTGGTGCCTGAGTGCTGTGCCAGCAGAGGCAGCTCCCTGGCCCACGAGAGCCTCAGTGGGTCCTGAGGGTCAGGAACACCCCAGCACTGCTGGGGGGCTTCTGGTCCACAGAAGCTCATGGCTCTGGGCCAGCTGTGGGATGTGTTCTGTATTAAAACCTGCTCAGTGCAGTCCTGGAGGTCCTTGGGGAAAGGCCCTTGTTAAATGTCCTGTTTTTCCTTTTGATTTTATTTGCATGTGCACCTGATGTCCAGTAACGGCGTGGGATATAGCTAAGAAATGCATAAAAATGATATTCGACGCAATCAGTAAGTGTACTGGATCCCATTGCTCTTGTCTGTGGCCATCCTTGGGAACCCTTGGGATGGGATGGGATGTGTTATCCCTGAGAGAAGTGAGGCCAGTGGAGGTCTGTCCACTGGGCATCTTTTGTATATAGCTGTGTCTCCATTCCTGGAGTGTGAGGCAGAAGAGCCTCACCCTGTCATGGATGGCTGTGCTCTGGTGGGACTGAGGCACCTGTGTGGTGCCTGAGTGCTGTGGCAGCTGAGGCAGCTCCCTGGCCCATGAGAGCCTCAGTGGGTCCTGAGGGTCAGGAACCCCCCAGCACTGCTGTGGGGCTCCTGGTCCACAGGAGCTCATGGCTCTGGGCCAGCTGTGGGATGTGTTCTGCACTAAAACCTGCTCAGTGCAGTCCTGAAGTTCCTTGAGGAAAGGCCCTTGTTAAATGTCCCATTTTTCCTTTTGATTTTATTTTCATATGTACCTGATGTCCAGAAACGGCGTGGGATACAGCTAAGAAGTGCATAAAAATGATGTTCGACGCAATCAGTAAGTGTACTGGATCCCATTGCTCTTGTCTGTGGCCATCCTTGGGAACCCTTGGGATGGGATGGGATGTGTTATCCCTGAGAGAAGTGAGGCCAGTGGAGGCCTCTCCCCTCAGCACGTTACCTGCAGAGCCCCTTCCAGAGCCCAGCAGAAGGCCTGGCTTTGGGGTGGGGTCAGTTTGGTCAGAGGGGTGACCTTTGACAAGGGATATGTCCTACTCTGGCAGGGGGTGTTCCTTGCAATTCGTAACAATTTCAAAGGCATAGCACATCCCTTCTGGCATTTCCTTTCCTTTTGTTGACCACTAAAGGATGAATGTCACCCTGGGTTTAACTAAAGGACAAAAGGCAGAAACCTTTCTGTGCAGGTGATTGCCAGTCCTTGCCCACACTACCTGGAAACTAAACCCTGCCAAGCAGGAAGGAGATCCAGAGGTGAGGGCCCAGTGCAGACAATTCAAGCATTCCCACCTGTCCCTAAATTCCCATTTTCAAAGGCCTCCAGCCAGTCCTTTGTTGTGTTGCCATCCCCATGCAGATGGCCAGGACCCCGGGATCCCAGGGTGCAGAGATGTCCCAGCAGTGGGCTTTTCCCACAGCACAGACCTGGATAGCCTGGCCTCTGCTGGATCCCACCCCTGGATTCTAAGGCCAGCTGTTCTCCTGCCCCCAGCTCTTTCCAGCTGGCATGCTGGCAGGGGAATGTCATTCCCTCAAGGGTCACTTGGAATTTAGCATGGCCAGGGAGAGGAGGTTCCCTGAGCAGAGCCTGGATGTGTCTGTGAGCACAGGGCCTGTGGAGAGCAGCTCTGCCTGCAGGAGCTGGTGCTGGGAAGGGGAAGGGTCAGCTGGGGCACAGGCTCCAGTGTGGGCCTGCTGGCCCCAGACTGTGCCCCTGGGCCTGGCTCAGGCAGGACACAAAGTGTGTTGGGAACAGCCTCTGGCCCCAGGGCAGGGACAGCTGAGGAACAATTGGCCTTCCCTGACCCTGGGTCCTGTTTGTGCTCCAGCTGCAGCCAGCAAAGCCAGGGCAAGGAGCAGCCCAGGAGAGTCCAGGCAAACCCCTGCAATTCCTGCTGGCTCAAACCATTGTGGGCTTGGAATTGTGTGGCCCACTTCAAAGCTGGAGCTCTTCATATATTGGGCTAGAGAAAGCATGAAGGAGATGTTGAAAAGGGATGAAAATGTGTCCTGGGTTTCTTGTCCCCTCCCTGCTAAAAGTGTGAGGGTAAAGGGAAAACCATTTCCAGATTGTGCCTTCATGGCCAACTGGAATGCCTGTGAGGTGAGGATCTCTAAGGGTGAATGAGGAAGGAAAAAACCACCCACAGGAGAGCCCTGAGGAGAGACCCTCTGCCAGGGAGGTTAAATCAGCGTCTTGGGCGTGCTTGTGTCAGATGGTTGGTGTCCTGCTCAAGTAGGGAACATCAGTGACCCTGTGACATTGTTCTTTCATCACAGAAAACAAAGAGGAGGAAATTGCAAGGACCCTGGAAGCCAAGTTGAATACGAGCCTCCGGCAGCTCTCGCGAAGAATTCGAACTCTTCAAGAAGATGTAGAGGAATGGCCAGAGGCCATAAAGGATGAGCTTCAGCTTTTCAGAGCAGAACTGGAGATGAAGACAGGTGAGCAGGGTCCTTGCCAAGCAGACTTTCATCCATCTGAAGGCAGAAGCTGCTCTACAGGCCAACCACCCTGTGAGCTCCTCCTGCTCAGCTCCTCAGAGGGGATGGGGAGGGACAGTCCTTCCATGGGGAACAGCTTCTGTGATCCATGGCACTGAAACACCCCTATGCTGAAGTGTTGTCTGCAGGCGCAGGTGGTCCAAGTCCCTCTTCAGTCCCTCACCTGTGCAGAGGGTGTGTTCCTATAAAGAAACCCATTGCTTTTATAGACAGTTAAAATACAGGTGAACCTAATTGGTCCTCCAGCCCAAACACCATCATCATTGGCTAATTAAGAAACCACCTTTTGGTAGACAAATCTCCATAACACATTCCAGATGTTCACAACAACTGGTGCAGCAAGTGAAGATAAGAATTATTTCTCTTTCTTTTCTCTGATCTTCTTACAGCCTTTTCCAGCACAATGCCTGGGAAAGTTGCTCTTTGTAGCCAGAGAGCTGCAGCCACACAGCCCCATGCTGAAGTGTTCTCTGCAGGTGCAAGTGGTCAAAGTCCCTCTCCTTTGCAGAGGGTGTGTTCTGGGAGTTCTCTCACTGTCTGATACTTGCTAAGGGTCCCCCCCTTGAAGTCCTGTCCCCGTTTCTCTCCCTTTCCCCCCTGCCCTTCTCCTGCTGCCCCACTCCTGGTCCCATGCTGGGGCACGCGTGAGCTCAGCCTTGTTTCCCTGATGATGATGAGCAGGGAGAGGAGGTTCCCTGAGCAGAGCCTGGATGTGTCTGTGAGCACAGGGCCTGTGGAGAGCAGCTCTGCCTGCAGGAGCTGGTGCTGGGAAGGGGAAGGGGAAGGGTCAGCTGGGGCACAGGCTCCAGTGTGGGCCTGGCTGGCCCCAGACTGTGCCCCTGGGCCTGGCTCAGGCAGGACACAAAGTGTGTCCTTTGGGCATGCTTGTGTCAGATAGCTTGTCTTCTGCTCAAGGAGGAAATATCAGTGACCCTGTGACCTTATTCTTTCCTCACAGGAAACAAAGAGGAGGAAATTGCAACGGCCCTGGAAGCTGTGTTGAAGAAGATCCTCTGTCAGCTCTTCCAAGGAATTCAAAGTGGGGAAGATGTAAACATTGCCATATATCATGAAACTCTGCTTGCCATTGCATAGCTGGAGAAGAACCCAGGTGAGCAAAACCATTATTAAGCAGACTTTCATCCGTCGTAAAGCAAAAGCTGCTCTGCAGGTGAACTGCCCTGTGAGCTCCTCCTGCTCAGCTCCTCAGAGGGGATGGGGAGGGACAGTACTTCCGTGGGGAACATGGAAATTATCCATGGCCCATTCTGTGATCCATGGCACTGAAACACCTTGTCTTGGTTTACAAGACAGCTGTCTGCTAGGGAAGGCATGATAGCCTCGCTTGGAATGGAGAATGCAAACCCCTGCCGCTTTGAATTATTATAATTTTGAGATTAAGGGGTTCTCAGGCAAAGATACAGGAATAGCAATAACAGTTATTTACCCCTATGTGTAACAAGGCAAACCAAACACCAGCAGCTGCAGCACTGACAATCACAGAGCAGGAACCCAGTCCCAGCCCTTCGGCCGCGGCGCTTTCCCTGCGGTGCAGTTCCGCTCGCAGCCAGCAGGGGCGCTGGTGGCTCCCGGTGGGCGGGGCCGTGCAGGGATCCCCGCGGGGCTGCAGGGGGCGCTGCGGCGCGGGCTCGGGGAGCGCGTGGCAATGGCGGCTGGGCCCAGACCGGGAGGGATGGGGGAGAGGCTTGGCTTCACAAACCCTGGGGCCGCCGATCCCGGTGCCCCGACAGGACTCTCGGAAGCAGCAGGCTGGAATGGCAGGGATGAGCAGAAAATCCCAAGTCATTAGATGATATGTATCAGAAACTCCACAGCAAGTGCTGGAACCTGCGGGATGTCCGGGCAGGGGAAGGGAATGCAAGGCCGAGCAGGAGAAGAAAGGTTCCCTGCTGGGTTGTGGTGGTGGTAGGAGAAGGCAGCAGAGATGCAGTCTCGCATTGGTGGTGAATTCCCTCCCCAGCCTATGTCTCCAATGCCAGCCAGAGAAACTCCCAAAAAACCTAGTTTCCATTCCCCATCCAGCTCAAGCCATCAGTTCCCCTTAGCAACTCAATGGGAAGAAATTATACAGGTGATAAAGAGAGAACGTTTAAACCTTTAAAAATTACATACATCTATACATGCAGATCCAGATACAGTCAGAGTGTCATGGGTAGTTCTCCCAAGAACAAGGTCCCCTTGAGGTATACATTGGGTCTCTCCATCCTTTTGCATCACTCACCAGGTGCAACATGGACCCTGAGTGAAGAAAACCCCACGGATGGGATTGTCTTTGCTGGAGGCTGAATTAACCCAAACAGTTTTCCCCAGCATACCTCTCCTATGTACCCCTGGAAGCTTATCTCCATCTGTTGTTTGCAAGGGCTCAGATTGGGAAGGGTCTGCTTGGTTAGTGGAACCTCGGGTGTCACTAACCATGTGGCCTTTGCTAAATTAATCTCCCAGTTCTTGAAAGTCCCCCCACCCAGTGCCTTCAGGGTGGTTTTAAGCAGGCCATTGCACTGCTCAGCTTTCCCAGCCACTGGTGCATGCTGAGGAATATGGTACACCCACTCAGTGCCATGTTTCCTAGCCCAGGTGTTGATAAGGCTGTTCTTGAAATGAGTCCTGTTGGCGGACTCTCAGGGGTACCATGCCTCCACAGGACTTGCTTTTCCAAGCCCAGAATGGTGTTCTGGGCAGTAGCGTGAGGCACAGGGTAGGTCTCCATCCATCCCGTGGTGATTTCCACCATGGTCAGCACGTAGCGCTTGCCTTGGCGTGTCTGGGGCAGTGTGATGTTGTCAATCTGCCAGGCCTCCCCATACTTGTACTTGGACCACTGCCCACCATACCACAGGGGCTTCACTCGCTTGGCCTGTTTGATGGCAGCACGTGTCTCACAGTCATGGATAACCTGAGAAATACCGTCCTTGGTTAGATCCACCCCTCAGTCTCGTGCCCACTTAGAGGTGGCATCTCTACCCTGATGACCTGAGGCATCATGGGCCCATCAAGCTAGGAACAACTCCCCCTTATGCTACCAATCTAAGTCTGTCTTTGATACCTCTGTCTTTGCCGCCTGATCTACCTGCTCATTGTTTTGGTGTTCCTCATTAGCCTGACTATCAGGGACATGGACAACTACATGACTGACTTTCACAGGTAGCTTCTCTACCTGAGTGTCAATGTCTTTCCATTCATCAGCAGCCCAGACTGATTTTCCCCTACGCTGCCACCTTTCCAGCCAGCCCCACAGAGCATTGGCTACCATCTACAAATCAGTCTAAAGGTAGAGTTTTGCTCACCCCTCTTTCAGCAATGTCCAGGGCCAGCTCAACGGCCTTGAGTTCAGTAAGTTGACGTGATCCACCTTCTCCTTTGGTAGCTTGTGCAACCTGTCGTGTGGGGCTCCACACGGCTGCTTTCCACTTCTGGTTCATCCCTACGGTGCAACAGGAGCCGTCAATGGAAAGAGCATAGTGTGTTTCCTCTGCTGGTAGTTGGTTGTACGGTGGAGGCTGTGTCACTTGTTCCTGCTCCTTTTCATCAGTGAGATCAAAGATTTCACCTTCTGGCCAGTTTGTAATTATCTCCAAAAACCCAGGGCAATTCAGGTTTCCAATACGGGCACGCTGTGTGGAGAGCAATCCATTTGCTCCATGTGGCATTGGTGGCATGGTGGGTAGTGGGAACATTTCCTTTAAGCATCCACCCCAGCACTAGTAGCTGGGGTGCCAGGAGGAGTTGTGTTTCCGTGCCAATCACCTCCAGGGCCGCTTGAACTTTTTCATAGGAGGCCAAGATTTCCTTCTCTGTAGGAGTGTAGTTGGCTTTGGACCCTCTTCAACTTCGGCTCCAGAATCCCAGTGGTCAGCCTCGAGTCTTCCCAGACATCTTCTGCCAAAGGCTCCAGGACAAGCCATTGCTCCCAGCTTCAGAGTAAAGCACATTCTTCACCTCTGGTTCTGTCCTGACTGGGCCAAGGGCTACTGCATGAGCGATCTCCTGTTAATCTGGGCACAGGCTTGTTGCTGCTCAAGGCCCCAGTGGAAATCATTCATCTTGTGTGTGACCAGGGAGAGAGGGCTCCCAATCTGGCTGTACTCGGGAATGTGCATTCTCCAAAAGCCTAAGGCACCGAGGAAAGCTTGTGTTTCCTTCTTGTTGGTCGATGGAGACTTCATGGTGGTCTTATTGTTCACCTCAGCTGAAATCTGACGCTGTCCATCTTGCCACTTTATTCCCAGGAACTGGATGTCTCGGGCAGGTCCCTTGACTTTGCTCTTCTTGATGGCGAAGCCAGCTTCCAGCAGAATCTGGATGATCCTCTCTCCTTTCTCAGATACTTCCACTTCATAGGGGGCTAAGGCTACTTTTATTTTGGTGGAACTCCTGTGGTTTCCCTCTTTGAGTTGACACAGATGTGTCAAGAAGCGCTGAGCTTGTCTGACACTCAGGAGCAGTTGAGGCAGTGTGTTCAGTGGCATCATAACAAAGTCTGGAAGCTCAAGAAAAAAGAGAGAATAAGATCAAGGCTATTGAATGTGGAAAAGGAATATTTATCCCTGGGACTTGAGGAGTTAGACTTGAGCAGTGGCAACAAAGAAAGTGAAAGTGGGAAGAGAAGAACCAAAGGAGAAGGAATAGGAGAAGAGTGCAAAGAGCAAAAGGCACAGTCAGTTTGGATTTTATCCCTGATCTCACATGGAAAGGGGTTTTTTTTGCCAATGATATGGATGAAGTATTGTCTTAAATTAGATGTGCAGGTTTTTGGAAGTCTCCCTCTGTTACTTGTAATATGTGGCAACATCGGTAGTGCAGAAGAAATTGACCCACCAGGATGGCATCAGCAGAATATGTGGCTTACTTGGGCCAATGCTACTGGGGTGGACTCCTTTTGTTTGTCCTTAGCCATGCCAGATCCCTTCTGTACATGTTTAATTGGTATTCCAATTAAGTAATTTTACTTTATTCTTTGCGAAATGGGTAGGAGCCAGAGGAAAGCCATAGGAGGGAGGGAGTAGATCAGGTGTGGAGAATCACTGGTGTATCACAACCAGAGGTGGTAAAAAATTGGACATATGCAAAAGGTTGGGAATTAGGCCAAATGTAGCAATGTATCTGAACCACTTAGGCCACACTGTGCACCAGCCATACCGCTTGTAGCTATTCTTATCAGAGCCCTCTGGAATTCATCAAGGTTACTAAGACATAAACTGTGCAAAATTAAGAAAGAAGAGGCTGAGAAACACAATACCAAGACCACAAGAACTAGATAACAGAAGGCTGTGAGCCACCTGGACTGTAACCAGTCACATACTCTGAGAAGTGCACAGAATGCATGGAGAAGGTGGAGGCACCAATGAAGAAGAGCGTGATCAGCGTGTGCAGTAGGGTTAGAATGTATAAATGCATAATGTAAACAATAAATGGCTTCTGCTTAATCATATTGGTTAGTCATACAGGAGTCCTGTTTTCCCACAATGGGTGCCTGGGCAGGAGGGACAGTTCCTTTCCATAGAAAGGAAAGCACAGAGCCCCAGTATTTCAGGGGCACATCAGAACAGACCCTCAACACGCTAAGGTCAGTTGAACCGGTCTGGAAAAGCCAACCAGACCTGTTACCTGTTCCCTTGGATCCACAGGGCTCCGTAGGGTCACAATGGTGGTGTCGTATTGGATCCTTGGTTCCATGAGGCCCTGGTGTGTCACACTGGCCCCTTGTTTCCATGGGGCACCATAGGGTCACAATGGTCCCTTGCTTCCCATGAGACTTTCCTGTGTCACAGTGCCCTCCTTTGTTATATGGAGCTGCACAATGACAAAATGGCCCCTTGGTTCCATGAGGCCACAGAGTGTCACATGGCCCCTTGGTTCTTTTGGGCTCCTCAGGATCCCAGTGGCCCCTTGGCTGCATGAGGTCCAGCTGTGTCACACTGGCCCCTTACTTCCATTGGGCCCTGTAGCGTCACAGTGGTGCCCCCTTGCTTCCATGAAGCCTTGGAATGTCACAGTTGTCTCCTTGGTTCCACAAGGTCCTGCAGAGTCCCTTTGTTCAATGGGGCCTTGAAGTGTCACAATGGCCTCCAGTATTCCATGAGGCCCTGCAATGTCACAATGGACCTTTGGTTCCATGAGTCCCACATTGTTCCATGAGTCCTTAGTTCCATGGGGCCAGGTGGTCTCCATGGTTCCATGGTGCCACACAGTGCCACAACTGCCCTTTGGCCCAATAGGGCCTCATAGTGTCACAATGGACTCCTTGGTTCTATGGGGATGCAAAGTGCCACAATGGCCCTTTGGTTTCACAAGGCTTCAAAGTGTAAAATGGCCTCCACGGTTTCATGAGCAGTGCTGTGTCCCAGTGCACCCTCGGCTCCATGATGCCCTGTGATGTCACAATGGTCTCGTTGGTTCTGCACCATAAGAATAAGCCCTTGGTCTTTTGGAGCCCCAGAGTCACTATTGTGCTCTTGGTTCCATGAGGCCCCACATAGCCTCCATGGCCCGTTGGTTCCATGAGGCCTTGCAGTGTCACAAGAACCTCCTTGATTCCATTATATCCCATAGCATAGCAATGGCCTCCTTTGTTCCATGATGTCACTATGTCCCCTTTGTCCCATAGAGCCCCACAGTGTCACTATGGTCCCTGTGATCCCATGAGGCCCTACAGAGTCACAATGGCCCCTATGTTCCAGTAGGTTCCAAAGGGTCATAATGTTCTCCATGGTTCCATGAAGCCCTCCAATATCCCATGGACCCTTGGTTCCAAGGCGCCTGCAGTGTGTCAAGGCTGTCCCAATGGACCATTGGTTCCATGCAGCCCCACACTGTCACAATGAACCCACGGCTCCATTAGCTTCCACACTGTCAACAATGGTCTCCTGTGTTCCACGAGGCCTTGCTCTGATACAATGGACTTTTGGTTCCATGAGGTGCCACTGTACCACATGGACCCTTTGTTCCATCAGGTTGCACACTGTCACAGTTGACTCCTTGGTTCTGTCAGCCTCTGCTGTCACCAAACCTCCAAAATACCACAAAAAGGCTCCTTAACACTAATTTGGTGTTTGAGAGGACATAATTTATTCAGGCCTGAGGTTTTGGTTGTTTTGTGTTCATTGTTTTTGCCTACGTGCAGATCTTCAGGGCCATGCTGAGGATCCCCGCTGATCAGGGACAGCACAAAGCCTTTTCCACCTGCCTTCCTCACCTGGCTGTGGTCTCCATGTTCCTCAGCACTATCATTTTTGCTCATCTGTCATCATTCCATGAGGTTCCAGAGCATAACAAGATCCCCTTGATTCCTTTTACACCTGCCTTCCTCACCTGGCTGTGGTCTCCATGTTCCTCAGCACTATCATGTTTGCTCATCTGTCATCACTGCCTCCAATGTTCTGACCTAACTGGAACCTGGGGACACTTTCTCAGTTGTGTCCTTCAGTGGGACCCATTAAAACGTCAAGAAACTTTGGAGTTTCAAACTGAATTTGAATTCTTGAGAAGCTTTTTGAAGACTCTCTCAGGGACTGAGTCTCCTGGACAAAACATCAAAGCCCCGAGAGGGTCATTAAAGTCCCTTTTCTGTTGTTGTGCTGCTGAGCTGGGCCAGGCTCCTGGAATAGTGGCACATCCTGGCAACCAAGAAGAGCTTCAAAATGACATTTCTCCTGAGGAGCAGCTCCTCTCCTAGCCCAGGAGGGCTGGGCCACTCCTTGCAGCCACCCCGGGCACAGCACAGAGGCACAGAGATCTTCAATCAGTCAGGGCTGGGAAGGTGCTGAGAAGTGCCTGGGGCAGAATCACTGCCTGCCCTTGGCACAGGAACCTCTGGCTGCAGGACAAGGCTGCTGCAGCTCCTGCAGTGATCTCCTGAAGCTGGAACATCCCAATGCCTACAGACTGTGAGTACAACTCAGTGTATGTCTGGTGTGGAGGAGGGCAGGCAGAGAACTTCAGATCGTTTCCAGAAAATTTTCAAGATAACAGTATTTATAAAGACAAGGAAGTTTCCTGAGGTTGTTTCCAACTTCCTTCTCCTGTGCAATGGAAAGGATAAAATATTATAAAATTATTAATTTTGACAAGTATCTGAGATCTGGGGATCTCCTCTGGTCAAGGTGACCCCGAGGAGTGTTAAAAGTCTCTTTTTCCCCAACCCAGCTGTCGAAGAAGGAGTCAGAAGTCTTTGGCTGTTGTTCTCAAGGTAGTTTATTATTTCTTATCTAAAACATTTTCTGTCTGGCCTGCCAGGGTCTGTTCAGCAGGTCAGTCTGAGGCACGCTCCCCACCCACAGGGATGGTGTTGTCTTTTATACTATAACCTACGTATTCGATATTTACAGTTATGTTCCAATACCTATCACCTATGTTAGACAGTGACTTTCTACTCTACACCAATCCCAAAGTGCCACCATCACCAGGAAGATGGAGGCTAGGAAGAAGAAGGAAGAAGAACAGGACAACGGCAAATCCCTAAATCTTGCCCCCTAGATCCCCATAGTAAAATTTTTCAAAATTCCACCTTTCGCCCTGTGTCAACTACTGTTATGCTACTTAAACTTTTGTGACTTGTAATTCTTCATATAAAGTTGGTAATTTTCTCCATGGGTTGAGATCAAATTCCCAAGTGTCTTTGGCTTCCTGCCAGGATCTCTGAGCCCCTGCCAGGATTTTGAGCCATCCAGGGCATTCAGAGGTATGTCCTGGGTTTTGACACTGAGAGACCTGATCTGTAGTTTTGGGTGCTCTGTAAGTCCACAGGAGTTTCCTGAAGTGTTTTCAGCCACCAGTGCAGCCCCAGCCTCTGAACAAGCCCCCTCCCTCCTGTCCCCCAGCCAAGCCTCTGCCCTCAGGGCCGGGGCTCCAAGGCGTGAAGCCCCTCCTGTGCAGGCAGAGCTGCAGCAGAGCCGTGGGGCAGCTCTGCAGCCCCGGGCCCAGTTCCCTCTGCAGAGCACAGGGCTGGGAGCAGCTGCCCGGCCCTGGGGGCTCTGGGAGGGGGCACAGCTGGCTCAGGGTGATGCTGTGCCCAGCGCCCGGCTCTGGGCAATGCTGTCAGTGCAGCCAGGCAAGGAGCTGCATCTCCCTTCATCCAATGCCATCATTAGGACACCTGGATGTCTCCCTGAGATTTCCTTCCAAGCTTTGAGCTTCCCTCCAGGATGCAAACCTGTCCTATAGCATCTCTGTGTTATCTGAAAGACCCAGGGGGAGACACAGAAGGTCTATGACAAGAAAATGCTGTTGGGTTGGTGAAATGGGCCCCGTGTGTCCTTGGAGACAAATGTGGGGCTGAGACCTTGAGATGGGAATGGACATTTGGTGGACTCTGGGGGATCCATCTGCTCTCAACAGTGTCAGGATGGTTTTTAAAGGAAACATGAGAGGGTGATCATCCTCTGTCTGGGAAAGGTGAAAGCCCAGAGAATCCTGGAAGAGGACAGGGAGACAGACCTTCTCCCCTCCCTCTCCACTCACCACCTTGCCTCAGAGAACTCTCTCTGTTCTCCCTGAGGGCAGCAGAAATCCCGAGAGCTTCTGACATCCAAAAATAGTCAGCAGGGGAGATGAAGAAAAGCTGTAAAAATTCTAGAACATTTAAAGAGACCTTACCATTCCTGTTCTCTGGCATTGGGAGTGCAGATGCTGACAGGTTAACAGGGTTTCAAAGTGGAACACGAGGACAGGTCCCTGTCCCCCTCCCACGTCTGCACAGCAAGGCTGAATTATAAAAACCCTGCGTGTAGCTGCCCTGAACCTGAAGTCCAGCTAACTAGGGCTCCCCACTTGAAGCTGAAGGAAAATCTCCTAGAAAATCAAAAGGTCTCAGAGTGTTACAGGTGAAGGGTCTGTGGGAAAAGGCTTTGATTTTGCTGGAAGACGTTTCTCCTAACCTGTCACTGAATTTTCCCCATGAACAGCTCCCAATGGCCGGAGGCAGCAAATGTCCAACAGCAGCTCCATCAGCCACTTCCTCCTGCTGGCATTGGCAGACACGCGGCAGCTGCAGCTCCTGCACTTCTGCCTCTTGCTGGGCATCTCCCTGGCTGCCCTCCTGGGCAACGGCCTCATCATCAGCGCCGTAGCCTGCAGCCACCACCTGCACACGCCCATGTTCTTCTTCCTGCTCAACCTGGCCCTCAGCGACCTGGGCTCCATCTGCGCCACTGTCCCCAAAGCCATGCACAATTCCCTCTGGGACTCCAGGGACATCTCCTATAAAGTATGTGCTGCACAGCTCTTTCTGTTTGTATTTTTCATGTCAGCAGACTATTTCCTCCTGACCATCACGTGCTACAAGTGCTATGTGTCCATCTGCAAACCCCTGCACTACGGGACCCTCCTGGGCAGCAGAGCTTGTGCCCACATGGCAGCAGCTGCCTGGGCCAGTGCCTTTCTGTATCCACTGCTGCACACGGCCAATACATTTTCCCTGCCCCTGTGCCATGGCAATGCCTTGGGCCAGTTATTCTGTGAAATCCCACAGATCCTCAAGCTCTCCTGCTCATAATCCTCCCTCAGGGAAATTGGGCTCCTATTGGTTAGTGCCGGTTTAGCATTTGGGTTTTTTATATTCACTGTTTGCTCCTATGTGCAGATCTTCAGGGCTGTGCTGAGGATCCCCTCTGAGCAGGGGCGGCACAAAGCCTTTTCCACCTGCCTCCCTCACTTGGCTGTGGTCTCTCTGTTCATCAGCACTGGCACATTTGCCCACCTGAAGCCCCCGTCCATGTCCTGCCCATTCCTGGACCTGGCCCTGTCAGTTCTGCATTCAGTGCTGCCTCCAGCCCTGAACCCCCTCATCTACAGCCTGAGGAACCAGGAGCTCAAGGCAGGATCATCCTACAAGTGCTGCAGGAATTGTCTGCAGGCTCCTGCAGTGCCTCGTGCTGCTCCCTTGCCAGAGGCACCACAGGCCAGGGGGCACATCTGGGCTGCTGTGTCTGCCTGTGGGGCTCCCTGTTCTGGGCAGTGAGGAGGAGCTGCAGAGGCTCTGCAGCACTGACAGGATGGGCTTTGGGCCTCTGAGGAGAAGCTGAGGCACCTGGGCTGCTGGAGCTTCTGCAGAGGAGGCCCAGGGCTCATCCTGCAACTGCTCCAAGGGTGGTTTCAGAGAATCACGGAATCAGAAAAGTTGGAAAAGTCCTTCAAGAACATCAAGTCCAACCAGTGCCCTGACACTGCCTTGTCTCCCTGAGCCTCCTCTTCTCCAGGATAAACAACCCCAGCTCCCTCAGCAACTCCTCACAGGACTTGTGTTCCAGACCCCACAGCAGCCTTGTTGCTTTTCTCTAGACACACTCCAGCCCCTCCATGTCCTTCCTAAATTGGGGTCCCAGAACTGGACACAGCACTTGAGGTGCTCCCTCACCAGTACCGAACACAGGGGAAGAATCCCTGCCCTGCTCCTGCTGGCCACACCATTCCTGATCCAGGCCTGGAACCATTGGCCTTCTTGGCCACCTGGGCACACTGCTGCCTCATGTCCAGCCTGCTGTCCATCAGTGCCCCCAGGTCCCTTTCTGCCTGGCCACTCTCCAGCCACTCTGTCCCCAGCCTGTAGCGCTGCAGGGGTTGTTGTGGCCAAAGTGCAGGACCCGGCACTTGGTCTTGTTCTGCCTCACCTTGTTGATTTGGGCCCTGGACCAGCTGATGCTGGTCTCAGTCCCCTCATGCAGATCATCAGTGCAGATATTGAAATCCACGCTGGCTGGCTTTGATCCCTCAGCCATCCTGTGGGTGCCCTGTGATGGCACTCAAGGTGATCTGTTCCATAACCTTGCCGGGCACCGAGGTCAGGCTGACAGGCCTGGAGTTCCCCGCCACGCTGCTGTCCAAATCCTCTACTCCCCCGGCTAGGGGAGGAGATTGCACCAGCCGAGCTGAGGCACAGCAGCTGACAGCGGGGGGGGCACTTCCCAGATGTGCCAGAAGCGTCCGGGGAGCGCCTCAGCAGGAGGCAGCGGTGAGCAGCAAAGAGGCAAAGAGAGTGAAGAAAAGAGGGACTCCTCTCGGGAGCAAAGTCTGAAGGTTTATTGTCTCCAGGGGACCCAGCTGAGAGAAGATGAGAAGCAAGGGGGATACAATAGTATATAAAGGGGGTGGAACAATAGGGTGGGGACAATACAATAACCAATAAGGGAGAACTTAGGAGGGAGCAAAATCATAATAGACACACCGGCTAGCGAATAGGAAAGGTAGGAGGGAGGGACTCTTGTTCCTGGTCCAATCGCCCACTGCAGGGAGAAGAACTTTCTGGAAAAAGGGGAGGGGTCAGTGGGAGATTGGGGAAGGGTTAACAGAAGACATCCAAGGAAATGGGGGAGGAGACAACAAACTGACAGCTCTTATGCTGGGGAGGGGCTAACTGGGGAGGGAGGGGAATTCCCAGACCGAACCATTATTAGAAATAGCGGTAACAGAACAAACCAAGTTCAATGAAAATGAACAACACACCACAACAGTTCCCCAGATTCTCCTTCCAGCCCTGCTTGGGGATGGGCGCACATTGGCACCTCCACTCCTCTGGGACCTCCCTGCTGAGCCAGGACTGATGGTAAATGATGGAGAGCAGCTTGGGGAGCTCATCCACCAGCTCCCTCCTCCCTCTAGAATGGATCCCATCTGCTCCCAGAGACACCTGTGAGCATCTGAGTGGCTCAGCAGGTGCCCAGCTGCTTCCTCCTGGATTACAGGGGCCTGTTCTGCTCCCTGTGCCCATCTACCACCTCAGGAGAACACTTGTCCTGAGGATGGCCTGTCTTATTGTTTAAAACTGAGGCAAAGAAGGGGTGAAGTACCTCAGCCTATTCCTCAGCTTTAGTTAGTGTATTCCCCCCCACATCCAATAAAGAATGGAGGTTGTATTTGTCCCTCCTTTTGCCATTAATGTATTTACAAAAACATTCTTATTATTCTTCACAGAAGCCAGGTTAAGCTCGAATTGAGCTTTCACCTCTCTGTTTTTCTTTCTGCATAACCTACAACATCCTTAAGCATTTGCTGAGTTGCCTGCCCCTCTGTCCAAATATTTTGCATCTGCTTTTTTTCCCCGAGTTCCTGGAAAAAGCTCCATGCCCTGACAGCCAGTCATTTTACTCGCTACCTCACTTTTTGGCACAGTGAGACAGGCTGTTCCTGCTCTTTCAAAATTTCTTTCTTGAAGTGTGTCCATGCTCCCTGGAATTGGGCTTGTGCAGGGATTGGAGTCAGTTTGGAGTTCTGTTAAGGAGAGAGATTACAAAGTGTACCTCATGATTTTTGTTTGGTTTTATTTTTTTTAATCACGAGTGTTTTTGTTTTTTTTTATTTTTCAGTTCAGAGGACAGCTGAAAGAACCATTCCTCAAGTTTTGTTGATGCTGAATGTATCCCTGTTTCTCACACTTAGGAGATCTGAGAATAGAGAAGAATGAGCCCCATTTGGGCTGACCCTGTTTGGACAACATGCTCCTCACCTCCAGCCTCACCATGCCTGACATCACCATCTGGGACTGACTTGCCAAATAATCTAAAAATGTTCATGTAATTGATTCTTTTATTTTATTCTGTTACGCATTATTTTTGTTATTATTTAATTATGCATACATTTATCATATACTTTTCTATTTATAATAGTATTGATTTTTCTTACCTCATTTTTATATTTGCATAAAAAATTTGCACATTTTTAGTAGCCAAGAAAAGGAATGTTCTTTGGTTCTACGTAACACAATTCCCTTAATTAATTAATGTCTATTGGCTATTCATTTCTTCCTCTTTATGGTAATTAGTAATATGCCCAGTCATTTTGTCATCTTTTTCATCATCTTTTTCTCAGAGAGGGGCATGGGAGAGCTCTTTGATGTCCAGGGAGACATTTCTGGGGCACACTTGGGGCAGTTTTGGGTCTGGGGAGGGAATTCAGAGAGAACTTGAGGGTCTGGAGGACACTTGTGGGAGCCAGGTGGGCACTTGGAGGGGCACTCAGGGACTCTGAGGGACAGTTCAAAGTCCGGGGGAGCACTTGAGGGTCCAGAGGGCCCTTGGAGGTCAGGGAGGGGAATTTGGGGCCCTTCGGGGTCTGGGGGGCCTTGGGGGGCCCGAACGGGGCTCTCTGGGGCGGAGGGGGTGATGGAAGTTGGAGGCATGGGAATAATACGGTTAAACGGGCCGGCAGAGCATCACGGGACTTCTAGGCGCAGCTGCAATGGCTTTTGGTGATGGCGGGGCATGACGGGAGATGAAGTCCCGCCTAGAAGAGCGTTGTACCTGCGCTGCGGAGCATGACGGGACCTGTAGTCCCAGAAGTGGTTGGAGCACGGCGTTTGGGGGTCCGGAAAGGCACTTGGGGGGCACTTTGGCGTCCGAGCCACAAATTGAGGTCTTCAGGGGGAATGCAAACGGTTTGGGAGCACTTGTGGGGCACTTTGGGAGCTGTAATCATGCTCTTTAGGGCTCGGGGCACAGCAGGAGATTTAGGCGCAGAGCTGTGTTATGAGGCATTCTGGCTCCGCGGGGTATGACAGGAGATGAATTCCCAGAAGTGGCTGTACGGAGCATCTGTGGGGTTGGGAGCACTCAGGGGATCCAGAGACGCTTTTGGGGGGTCGCGAATGGGCTCTGAAGAGGCACTGAGGGATCCTGGAGGGTCTGGGGGACACTTATGGGACAGATGGGGGGTGGATACCGGGGTGGGGTCTGTGGAGTGCGGGGCATGACGGGCGTTGCAGTCTCGGCTCCAGTGGGGTGCTATCGGGCCGCGGGGCATTGCGGGAGTTGTAGGCAAAAATAAAAGATGGCGCTGACACCGGGCACTGCTCCCAAGACCCCGATCCCTGCACTGATTGGCTGCTGGCTGTGATTGGTGGGACCATCGGCAAATGGGAGACAGTGGAGGCGGGAACAGCCTATTCAACCCCTCCAGTCCCTCCCAGCACAGCCCAGTTCATCCCCAGTACAGACCAGTATGACCCCAGTGCCTCTCCAGTCCCTTCAATACACCTGAGTTCATTCCTAGTCCCTTCCAGTTCCTCCCATTGTCATCCACAGTATGCCCCAGGGCCTTCCAGTCTTCTACACTGTGTCTCCAGTGTTCCCAGCTTGTCCCAGTATCTACCAGTATCACTCTCAGTGTCTCCCAGTGTCTCCCACACTATTCCCAGGGCATCCAGTATGTCCCAGTCCTCCCCAGTGTTTCCAATCACAGTTTAATTTCTCACGGTTGCCGTGGCAGCCAAACCCAGCAGTGGGGTCAGGGCAGTGACCATGGCCACAGCCCCTTGCAGTGGATCAGTGCAGCTTGGGCTGATGATTCACCCTCACAGCTGCCCCTGGGCAGCTCTGCAGTGGTTTTGGTGGCACCTTGGGCTGGCACACACCTGAGGAGTGTGTCTGTTTTCAGTGGGGGAACTCAGGAGTTTGAGATTGCTTCAAATAATACAAAAATGGTAAACCCCTCTTAGGCTGAGTGCAGCCAGCTCTGCAAGCACAGCAGGTCCCAGACGAGTGAGGACAGACAGGATGGGGCTGGGGAACGTGGAGCAAGGTTGTCCACACTGGGTCAGGGCTCAAAGCACAGCTTCTCTGAGCAGGCCAGAGCTCCTGAGGAGAGACCCTGGATAAATATCAATCACAGAATGCTGCAAGTGTCTCTACTCTGAAGAGAAATGTACTAAAATACATATTTTTAAATGGGAATGTTTATTTTTTACAAGCTCTTAGAAATTTTTCTCTGTCACTGGACTAGGAAAACTTTAATGAGCCTCTCAGGGCTTTTGGTGCTGTTTACATCAGACTCAGTCCCTGAGAGTCTTCAAAAAACTTCTGGAAACTCAAAGTCAGATTGAAACTCGCAA